TGTTTACAAGGCAGGACTACTCTGAATCAAGAAAAAATCTAGAACTCTGGGTTCTTTTCCCTGTTCTGCCATTTAATAAATGTCTGTAAACAATATAAAATTGCCTGAGATATACATTGTAAGTGGAAAACACAGTCTGTTTGCCTTTTCATAGGACTGGTTGGAAAAGTCAAATGGAAGAGAGATGACTACTTTGTTGTATATTAAAGCATTAACATGTGATATTAATTATCAGTTGGCTACTTTAATATAGATAGAGCACTGATAAATCATTTCAGTTCAATAGAAATCCCAAATTAAATATAAAGGATCATGTAACTCTCTGGCCATTTGAGAAGATAAATTAGAATTCCTATTTAACTTCCTAAACCAAAATGATTTAGGGTGAAGAAACTTCTTTTAAAAGAAAAGTTGAAATTATAAGAAAACTAAAGACTAAAAGTTTCCCCATAATATTTGAAAGGTTAAAGTATTTCTAAGCCAAACCAGTCTAAATTTTTACAATGACCTTGTATAACTTTTGTAATAAATCAATAAAACTATTGCATAGGACATCTGCAAATTATTTTCATTTTTATATTTAATATTTATGCAACATCATTTGCATTTTCCTTGAAGATACTAGTTATTTAAATATAGCATAAAATAAGTCATTCATTAATTCATTTGACCAAAACAAGAAAAATAGCACATACTAAGTTCCAGAAATTTTTCCTGAAGTGGAGCTGCAACAGTGATTGAAAGTTAAATTCCCAGGCCTCAAGAAGCTTACTCTCTAGAACAAAACACAGGTTCAACTAAATTTATATTACTGGCAAAAGTATCAGAGAAGAAAGATGGGAGTACTGGAGCAAGAACGGAGAGGATTTTTAAGAGTTTGAAATTTTAACAGGGTTGTCAGGGTAGGCCTCATTGAAAAATAATTTTTTAAACAAATATTTGAAGCATCAAGAGATGGTGTTTGTCTTTTAGGCAGTGGGAACTGGAAGGGCAGATATAGAAGCAGTCTTGATGTATCAAGGAACACCAAGGAAGACATTGTTGATGGTACTGGTCAAGTGAAGGAGAAAGTACTAATATACATGCATAAAAAGCAGTAGTAGCCAGATCACTTCAGCTCTTAAGGTCTGTAAGAACTTGAGGTTTTGAGTGAAAGAAGCCATCTGAGGGTTTCAGGCAAGGAATGCCATGATCTGGTGGAATTTTAATGAGATATTCTGGGTCTTAAATTAGCCTGAGTGGTTAAAAATTTTCAAACTACAGACAGAAGTGAATTATTGCAACAAGAAAGAGGAAGAGGATAAGAAAGGGTAGAATTGCTTTTCTTCATTCAATAAATGTTTACTAAGTACACTGTTGCTTCTGGCTAAAATTTAAGAATAATTAGAAGTGGGTTTCTTTTCTCTTCATAAAGAGATAAAATATGAGCAGAATCAACCATAATATAAAATAGAGAACAATGAAAGAAAGGTAACTTTCTATCTTGGGTTACAGAGAGGCAGAATTTGGGAAGTCTTATTAATGTATTTGGTGCTTTGCTGGACACAAAAATGTAGGATTCTTCAAGGCAATTGTTCTGTCTCTGACTGATAAATTATTAGCATTTAAAATAGTGCTTGGCACATAGCCAGTGATGAGTAGATATTTGTTACCTAATGATAGAATAAATGTGTGTATGCAGAGAAAAACAACATTCAAGTAAAGGGAACAACAGAAGAAAACCATAAACATGAAGATTTACATTTTTTCCCCTGGGTTTAGCTTGGCTAAAGTAAATGAAAATAGTGGAAGGTGAAATTTGAAACACAGACTAGATTAGATCATAGAAGGCTTTGCTGGCACCATGGGAGAATTATCATTCTTTTCTGTAAGAGGTGGGAAGTTTCAAAAACTTTGAATTGTGATATGAGTACAACTTTGTACTGGAAAAGCTAATGTAAGAGTGCTGATTATAGGTTGTTGAATGGAGTCTAGAGACCAGTTTGGATATTTTCCAAACCTAGAAAAAAAAGTAGTGAGGATCTCTAACAGGTTAGCACTTGATTCCTTTCACTGGATTGTATAAGTTATTTACAAGCCTAGCCATAGATTTGTATTTGTTTGTACTATAATTATTTTACTTGTCCTTCTCCTTTTCTTCACTTACAATACATTATATTTAGCACTGATGGTAGGCACTTCTAATTATCCCCAACGCTTCTTCCCTTTACTACAATAATAAAAGGCTCCAAGTTTGAGCCAGACACAGAACTACGAGTTAGAGACTACATTCCCAGCTGCTCTGAGAACTCCTTGTGGCCATAAGTTTTGGCGATGGATTTAAGCAGGAGTGATAAGGGCAACTTCTGGGATATGCTTGCTCTTCATTTCTTCCTGCCTCATTCTTACAGGATACTGACTTTTCTCTCCCCCTGCCTGAAGTTGATGTTGAAGATTACGCTGTCTTGGAAATACATAATATTCTTAGCCCTTTTCTTGGTAAGTTAGGTAAGGGGCTCAGGAGTTGCCTCAAGGGATTTCAGAGGGAAAATGAGTGATGAAATCTTCAAGTTATATATCTTGTTTCATTCTTTATAGACAAATATTATAACAACATGAATTTAAATATTATTCTCTGATTTCAGGGTTTTCATGATTGCTTATTTTCATATAAAAGGCAACAAAAATTTTATAGAAATGAACTATTTATGACTAAAGAACATTTATAATTTGGATTTTTAAAACTAGCTGCTTACATTTATCATTATTTTGTAAACAATTTTGTGTTCTTATATAAATATTATGATTGCTTAAAGATTTCTGCTTTCACAATCTATCTGGCCAAATGTGTTGATAATCAAGTTTATTTATTTGTATGACTATAGTACTCAAAGAAATATCTTGAATTTGTATACACCATAGGGTATATTTCTACATTTTGAGTGGAACAGCTTTGGAATGATAGCTTATCTAATTAGCTAGATTCTGAAAAAGGGAAGTAAAAGTGAGCCCTAACCCTGGAAAAAATGTTTGGGAGAGTTAGAACTTGGATTTGCCATTTTAAAAAGCTGGAAATTGATATTATATATTTTGTACAGAAATACACCTGAAAGACAGTGAGAGTTATACTTTATATAATTATGAAAACCTACACTGCTGAAAAATGTAATGTAAATATTGGATATGAAAAATAAGCTTTTAAATTCCTATACCACTTCAGTTATTTTGTGTAAACAATACTGTCTTTCTTTTATCAAGGCTTTCTTATTGGTACTGTAATAGGTTTACTGTGAAGTGCTAAGGACAGGGACTTTGTTTTGCTCATCCCACATCCCTAGAACTATGCTTAGCAAATAGTAGGTACAAAAAAAAAGGAAAGAGTTTTTGACAAAATGGATAAATGTTTGCATCTAAGAATTAGGATTATTGCTTAGTAAAGTGAAAAAGTAGCCTGTCCTATTTTGAAGACCCCAGTGGAGAGACAAGTATTGCCATTAAAAGATTTTGCATTAAAATATGGAAAGAGAAAAAAAAATATGGAAAGAGAAAGTAAATTACCTTAAATAAACTGTTTATAAAAGTTTGGCTCACAATCAATATTTTAAGTTTTATAAGCATATTTATGTAAGGCAGAATATTCAAATACCTGATTTTGAAGAGCTATCACTTCCAGTAAGGCAATGGAAACATGCTATAAAAATGTACAATCATAGATTTGGGAAAAAAACATAAAATGTGACTTTTTAAAAATATTTGTGATGTCAAAATACAACTTTGAAAACACCAAAATTATAATCATAAATATTGTGTAAATAAAAAATTGGACTGATTAAACTAAATAATTATGTTATTGTATACTGCTGATAAATGAGTTGTCTTGACTCCCACAAGAACTTTTTCACATGAAATTTCATGAGGACTGCAGTTACCACCAGCAGGAATTTTTAGTCTATCTTCAGGTATTTTAAGTACTGTAAATCAACGACACATGTTGTAAAGTATGTGTAGTTACATAGGAATCTGGACTAGGAATCTGCATCACTTACAGAATTTAAAGAATGTGGTTGAGGAAGACAGTACTATTAGGTTTGAAACATATGAATAAAACAAATAATATTGAACTGGAAAATAACACTATTCATTTAACATAATAAATTCCCATATAATAAGTCAAATCATCCCAGAGTATAAATTATACAAATTTGTAAGTTGCATTGGTTATTTTATGTCTCATTCCCCAACAGGTGTTAACTCTGTAGCAACATCTGGTTTGGTATATCAAATTCAAAGCTATTTAACAAATATGAAGGTTTTAAAAAATTATCATGCATGTGACCATTTGTTGTGCATTTTAAATCTTTTTTTCTCCCAATGGCCTTGAGGTTTTTTTTTTATCCAAATAATGAAATATGAATTGTTTTAATAGATACTAGAGCTAAAGCTTCGATTGTTTGAAATGTATTTTAAAGGCCTATTAGGAAATAGGCATCACATTAAGTTGCCTTCAGTACACTAATGGGCTATCCTTTTATAAGAATGTTGTTAGGGAAATTCGAAAACATTCTAAAATATCCTAGTAGAATAAACTTACTATTGTAGATTATTTAATGAGTTTATGGTCCTCTTTTTTTATCAGCTCATGTTAAATTTTGCAAGAAGTTTCTAAGAACTCGCCTTTTGCTACAAGGCCTTTTGCTGAGTGGGGATAGTTTGGGCACCGATAAGGAAAGAAGATTTTTTTTCTTTGTGTAAATAACAGCCTAAGAGTAATCTAGAGTGGTCTAGAAACCATGGGTTATCAGGAAGATGATTATAAATGGGTAGAGTACATCTCTCGCCCGAGGGTTTCTAATATAGCCTGACCACACCCTGTTGGGCCTCTTCTGCTAGTGGCCGAGTCATGGCCATTTTTAACAAATACTACCCACGTCATGGGCTTGGAATCCATCCTAGAGCTGGCCAACTCTACAGTTTTGTGTACCCTGATTTGGACCGAGTGCTTTCAATTGAAGATCACTTACGACTGAATTTTTCATCATGGCTTTGACTGTGAAGCCCTCAGAAACCAAGGAGTGAGGCTGGTGCACCGGGAGCGGCTGTTGTGCCAGCAGCTTGGTCCTCTTCGGCATCTTGTCTGGGCATTTGTTTAAACTGAGGGTCTCTTTTTCTGCCACCATCTTCCTAGAAAATGCCTTGTTCTCATAAAAAGTGTAGTAAAAGAATTCAGTGGGCTTTTTGGATGTGAGCAAGAGGTCGGAAAAAAAAAAATCTAAAAAGGCGCCTTACTGGTAGAAATTCAACCCCTCGTAGTGCCCAGGTTGATCCAGATGTTTGGCAGCTCCTAGGTGAAGGGAGTTTAGGGAAGGGAGGAGTGGGAGGAGGGCCCGACAGTCACTAAAGCTGCTAGCTCCCAAAGGTAAGCCTCCCGGTTGCTAAGCGACTTGTCAACACTGCAGGCCAGTAGCGCCGCCCGCCCGTGGCGTACATTTCCTGGACCTTAATCCGGAAAGGGCGGTGTGCTGTCCGGGGCGGGAGGAGAAACTACGGACCAAAACTACGACTCCCAACAGACCACGGAATGCGGGCCATCTGCGCGTGCGCATTACGTCTCTGGCGCGAGGGCGGGGAGGCCTGGATAATTTAACCCGCGAGAACCGCTGGTGGGAAACACTGGCGGGCGCCGGTGAGCGCGTAGTCCCCTGCTTGCCCAGCAGCTGCCACTTTCCTAATGACCATGATAGGTACGTGGGTTCCTGCCAGGTACAGCCTCTGCGCCGCCCCGGGCCCAGGTCTGGCGCACGACTGGGACCTTCGAGTACCGGCCGGCCGGTGCCGTTTGTCAGTGACAGGGCGAAAGTGCGCCGTCCTGCGTCTTGCCCCGCGCCACCGGGTTCCCCTCCTCGGTGGATACTGCCCAGCGTCGCCGGTCTCGTGGGGTGTTCAAGAGCCCAAGTGTGTATTTTCAGTCCCCACCTGCTCCCTCACTCCATAGCCTAACAGGGCTCCCGCTGAAGACAGCTTCTCCAGGGACACAGGTGTCCCGCTCCTCTCCCCGCCCCCCGCGAGGGCCTGGCTGAGTCCCGCCTCGCCACTCCCACAGCCTTGCACGCGGTCAGTCAGTCGGAAAGGTAGAAGAGTGTGCAGTGCCTCTAAAGTCCGTTTCTCCCCCGGACTTCTCTCTCAAGTTCTTGAAGGGGACGGGTCCGGATCCAGTGTCTGTATGACTCTTTAAGGAAACTCTGGCGAAGCATTAAATTCTGGTGGAAGGTACCTGATGATAGTGTTGGTATGAAAAGAAATTCCTCCAGATTTTAATTTCTTGCTCCTTCGGATCTCTACTTTTAAGTCCCTCAGTGAAGATCTGAGATGAAATAACGAATAATAGCAATGATTAAATCTCTTGGCTTTTATACCTATATGCAGTTTTGTGAATAAAACTTTATAAGTAGCTATTAGAGTTGTTTGCTATAAAAACTGAAGACTAAGATTAACAAAGGGCTTCTCTTTCAGGGTTGGTACCAAAAGCTACTTTAAGGATTATCCTTAAATTTAGAGAGAAGGAATAGTATGTTTAGAAAACATTGTTGTTTTGATGCTTTATTATTGCGGAGATTTGCTCCAGTTTATGTGTGGAAGGTTTGGTGAACTTGTTTGGGGATTATTACTTGTGTCACTTATAAAACGTTTTCTATTGCAGTAAGCACATTTGAAGTCAGATGTGTTCTGTCCAGATGAAAGATGAGAAACAGATTTATAAAAATACTTATTTTATGGCCTGAAAACACTTCGTTCTATTTTATTTATGAAACTAATATTAAAAGAAAAACATTCTTCCTATCCGGATCGTGCTAGTTAACTAACATTGTCTTTGCAACAATGATAAAAGCTAAGGATGTTGTCCAGTTTTTCTTGCCTTTCTGATTTTTGGTGAAGGACTTGAAATTTATCAAATTAAGAAAAAATGTACATTTTTATGAATCTTACTGAACCTTTTAGTTGACATTTACGTTAAATTCACTTGTAAACACAAATCTGGACTGAATCAGTGAATCAAGTAGAGATTTTTCAGTCAACCTGTAATATATAGGAAAATAATAGTCTGTACCTTAGTTTAATTACAATTACACATTTTATTTTAATTCAACTTAATAAAGTCAGGGATACTTTTAAGAGCTACAAATTTATTATAAAGATATATAAAGACATGAACTTAAGATATAGAAATTATCACTTTTTTTACAAGTTATTATCTAATAACTATGTTAATAACATTATTATGATGAAATATATTTAGGTGGCTTATTTAGTTTTATTTGGAATTCTGCTTCCAAGAAGGAAGAAGTATGACATTTGAATTTGATGGTGAGACAAATCAATTACTGGCAATAGCATGGAATAAAGTGAGTTTTAGAAATCATTCTCTTGTTCAAGCTATTGTCTTTCATTTTCCAGATAAGCATAGCATTACAGTTATGAGTAGAACAGTACTTTCCATATAAAAACCCTGTGAACAATGTATAGTAGGTTATCTCATTCAACTACTGTAGTTTCCTTGCCTAATCCTGTTGTGGGCCACATGTCAGTACAAATCTGAATTGCCAGATTTGGATTTAGGTGGATTGAACAGTGTTCAAAGTAGGTGAAAGTGAAAACAGTTGAAAGGATGCCCTAGAGTAATGGGTTTTGTGTTTTTGTAACATTTTAGAGCCAGAAAGGAAAGACATTATAGTTTTACCCAGTGATCAGTTGGAAATCAAACTACACAGGCATATCTGTGTAGGGATTGCTTTTTCTACTAAGGTTAGGAAGGAGTGCTATAGAGGATTTGGGCCCTTTCATGCTCATAGTCTCCTTAATTGCTATACCTTCCTTAATGCAAATTATATTCTACTTCATTTAAATCTTAGCTTTCTTTTGAAGAAAACAAAAAAGATTGGTTTCCTGGCAGAATAGGAGTAAAGAGAAGTTACTGTTACCTCACTATAAATAAAATTACCTTCCATTTACCTTCTCAGAACTGAGGATTCCCTTCTTGGCATTGAAACTCTTTCAAAAGTACTTACATTTCCCACTTGGATTATGATTGATATGTTAAATGCCCTGACCCAGACAGAAACAAAAACATAATTTAAGTCAGTGAAAAATTGTGCCTTTGTGAGAGGTGTGGAGGACTTGAAGATAGTCTAAAGTAGAATAGAAGAGCTTAAGAAAATTCAACTTAGAAAAATGTAATTTTGGCACCTCTATTAAAAGTATATTTCACCTTTTTAAGAAAGGTAGAACTCCTGTGTTTAAAATTGAATTTTAGTGATGATATTTTTGGAATGTTCTGCATGCCCTATAGATTTAGGCATTCAGGCAGTATCAGCAATAAAGTGCATGGATATGCATACAATATTGTTGTCATTGAAATTCAAATTCAATGTCATACTTTTAAAAGATTTTTGATTGAGTTAAAAACAATAATTAGAACATATTTTATACCTTATTTAACTTAGTATATTTTAGAGAACTTATACTGCATGTACAGATCCATAACATGGTAAATTCTGCCTAGTCTTCTATTTTATAGTATGTAATTATGCAGATATTCCCCAATAAATGAGCATTCAGTGGGCTTAGTGCTTTTCAGTATACAAGCTGCACAGCTGTTGTGGGAAACCTTGTCCTTCCTGACAGTGTTGATGAGGGTCCATTTTCCCCTGGTCAGCAAATGTTTTTATTATTGCTTTCTTGCTAGATGTGCAGCAGTATATTTTAATTTTAAAATGAGTTTATGATGATAAAAACTTCTTGCCTGTCCATTTATTATACTTTAGAATCAGAAATCTTTCCAAGGATTGAGTGCCTACTGTGTGCTCTAGGTGTCAGGTATATGAATGAGGAAAACAGGAGCCACCCAGAATGTACAGACTCACTTTACTATTGGCCCACAAATCTACACATATGGATTTAAGGCTTATGCATTCTGAAAGTTTGTATTCAGTAGATTTTTAAATCGTTGAATTTATATTTCTAGTTGAACATACTGTGTATTGCTACTTGCCCTGCCAACTTTAGATGAAAGCATCTCTAGGTACCAAAAAGCTTCTGTTTATGATGAGGTAAAATTGTGTCCCAAAATAGGTTCTACTAAACTTTTGTATAGAGGATTTCATGTAGTGGTTATATCCAGTTCTTTTTGGGTCCACATTACCTTATAGCCTTTACAATTTTGGCCCTATTTCTGAGGAATTTATTGAAACCTGCAGTTTTGTTTGAAACCAAATAGTTTCTTTGCTTGAAAATGATACAGTGAAAGTACTTTGTATTAAGATATGCAAATTCATTCCTACTTCCAAAGCTTCTTTGAAAAATACAAAAAGAAAGAAGAAAGAAAAAGTTATCCTTCAAAATGCTTCATATTCATGAAAACAGTTTCAATGCAAAATACTTTATTCTGTTAGCTTTCAGTTCTTTGATCAATGAAAATTGTTTCTTACCTGCTGTTTCTTCAGCCTTTAATTGTAGCCCAGTGCTTATTCAGTGCTTCTGTTTTAATTTGCATTTAATGAGCTCATTTTAAATGTTTCTTTGTAGTAAACTGAATGGTTTCTCTCTTAAGTTTTGTAATATTAAAGAAAGAGACTTACCTTGACAGTTGGCTGATTTGTGTTGCAGCTCACCCCCAAACCTTATTTACTTCATTTTGTATGAGAGAATCTTGGTTAAAAGGAATTGCAGTAATAGGACTATTTCCCTTAGTACTGTGTTTCCTAATTATCTAGGACTTCTACCAGGTTAATGCACATATCTATTTTTCATTAAATAGGAAGATTTCTCCTTGGATTAATGGGTATTTCAATTCACAATAATAATTCCATTCTCAGTTCGTTATAGGAGGTCCTGGGCAGGGGTGAGTCCAGGTTAGAAGTATATGTGTTTATGTTGCTTATGGGGAAGGGATGCAAAAATCTAAGACACCATTTTCCCCCTATGACTTTGTAATTCAGGTGGGCTGATAAGACATGTATTTCTGGTACAGATCCACTGTCTCTCCTACAGAAGCAGAGTACAGTAATTAGAAAGATGTATGTATGTATTTGTACTTATGCAATACAACACACATGATTCTTCATAGCTCTCTTCTTTTGTTGATGTACTTCAGATTTGATGATCTTCCTCTCTATTGCACAACTGGAAAGTTCTGTTCATCTGTTCAAGCCCTATGTCAAATGAAACCAACTTTATTTGTATTTTTTCTTAAGATCTCCACTTGTATGTCACTTCTCTCCCATTTCTCATTCTGAATCTATTTACTCCTCCTTAGAGTCAACCAAGATTTAGAAACTTTTATTTGTCAGATCCTTGCTCATAGTCTAGATAAGTGATGGCAAACCTTTTAGAGTCAAGTGCCCAAACTGCAACCCCAAACCCACTTATTTATTGCGAAGTGCCAACACTGCAATTAAATGTGAATACTGAAGTTTTAGTTTAGAAAAAGCAGCTCATACATTAACATTTCTTATAGTAAAACAAATACACAATAACATGCATGTCATAGTTTCACCACCACTGGCCCAGATGATAGACAGAAAAATAGAGTCGCAAACCTGGATGATAATATGGTGATAGAGGTTTATTAAAAAAAAAAAAAAAATTGAAGAGGGCAGCTAATTGCATGGCAGATCCACCTGTTTCTCAGTGGAGAAGTTTAAGTTGTTCTAAAGGACAATGGGAATTATATGAAGGTGTACTTACA